TTTTTAAGAAATCAATTGATTTCCAAGAAATAGACAATAGTCCAAAAACAAGCTAACTCAATCTATTGGGAAGTGTCAGTGTCTGTAGTGCGAATGTGGTGGAAGTGTCAGTGTGTAAGTGTACGTGTCGAAGTGTCAGTGTTCAAGGGATTTTCCGGAAGAACCCTTCGCAATGCTTTCGGGAATAAACATTGAATTAAAAATGGGTCATACATATGGAAATTTAGGAAGGATTGGAGGCTAAACATTCTTGTTAAAGTCTGTCAAATGACCAATGGTTTTGCGGGCACCGCGCGAGTCACAGCTATCCAGATCCCACGTTGCAGGCATAACAAAGTTCAAGAAAGTATCCACACACAGATCCTGCAAGGCCACCCATCTTCTAAACGACTTACTACAAGACCAGACAACTTAACTCCGTACCCGGTACCCATTGAAAAACACTACCCAGCTTTACCAAAAAAAACTCATGGCGGACATGCTTAAATACAGCTTACCTTGTTGTGTTTTAACGGTCCACACCCTAGCTCATCCCCTTCACTGCACGGGTGGGGTGGCCCGGAGAGTGAACTGCCACTAGACCTTGGTTTCAAACAACGACCTGTACTCTCGGGTCATTTGGGAAGTCCTTTATTCCGTCCACCCACTAGAATCACCACCAGTCGTGTGGCTCACCAGCAAGTCGCCACATTTCAAAACTTACACACGCAGGTGTCCCATTCCCCTTTTGACCGAGGCCTCGCCAGACCGCCAGACCGCCAAACCGCATGGCACAGTGACAGCAACTATTGAAATGTTAGTTGCTAGTCTGACGGAAACTGTACGAGCGTAGAATATCGAAGATTCCATATTTTCATATATTTTCATTAAAAATAGTTGTATAAACGGAAAGGAAGACCCTTCGATTTGGATGCTTTTTCAATTAATTATTGATACGAGCTGGATCAAGCATAAAAAAAAGTGTCCTAGGCTATCTTTCCAGTTTTCCATCTTTGGGGGGTCCTCCTACTTTAGGGAGCCCCTATTTTAAAACAATCGACAAAAGTTCTTTCTTATTTTGGGGGCCGGGTGTAATTTAGTAGATGGAAGGAGTTCACTTGAAGCAAGCTGTGTAGGTCCCAAACCTCCTGACCCTCTCGAATCTCGTAACAAGACCGTTTTTCGTCCGAACCAAATCGTTAGTGCGAGCACTATCCTGCGCCCTAAGTAGTAGCTACTTGCAGGTAGTAGCTACCTCTCCCTACTAGCTACCTAGCTACCTCACCTCCTAGCGACCTACCCCCCCCTTTAAAAAAAGGTTTTTATGTTCATCCTTCCTTCCTGGTTTCTCAGGTCTTTCTCAGACTGAGTCCCGAACTGCGAGTTCCAAAACGTCTCATAGAGTCGCCCAGCGCGAAACCTTGAAACCAACATCGCTCGTCCAAGTGTTTGAACAATAAAATATTATTAAGGAGGGGTAGGCCGCTAGTGCTAGTAGCTATAGGCTAGCTAGGTAGGTAGCTAGCTAACTAGGTAGTAGCTAGTAACCAGGTAGCTAGTAGCTACAAGAACGCTACTACGGACAGGATGGAGGATAGCTCACGCTATTCATGTGGTTCCTAGATGTTGAGGGAAACTTAACTTTCGTTGTTTCACAAGTTGAACACGTCACCAAACCCTCACAATCCGTTGGTCAAGTTTGGGCAACTTCGAGGAACTATATACTTTTACAAAAACGAAGCACATGAAACATGGAAATGCATTCTTGCTGGACTCTTACTCGATGCCGCAAGCAACTTGATGCCTTCCTTGAGGAAAGTCCAGGCCTTCCAATCAGTGATGTAACAAATTTTACTGTACACAGACTGTACACAAAGTATCTTCAAATCAAAGGTATGATAAAACTATCTGCATCTAAAATCTATTTGAATTGAGTTCACTTGGACAGCTCGACATTCAATTTCTTGAGACCATTGCCCATCGCTTAGGCAGTGCAGCCATGGAGCCTGCTGGGAAAAACAATGGAAAAAGTGGAGCATGTTGACACTTAAAAACAAGGATACAACTGATGTAGAATTGCATTTTGGACTCTGGCCTCCGAATCACCTGAAGGCACTTTGGGAAACGGCTTGGATCTCGAGCCAAAGAACAGAACAATGTAGATTGCAGAGAGCACCGGATGCAGGACCTTGCTTGAGCATGTGAGCATGCTAAGCATGTGGATCAGCGCTCTTTTCCGCTCTTCATGGAGCCAGGATCAGGCTGATTGAATCAGCCGAAGAATAAACCGTAATCTATTTGACTGTTTGACATAGCTATCTGTCAATCTATGGTGCGGGTTGAACAGGAAAGCTTCCTAGATTATGGCGTCAGGCGTGTTGGATCTCGAGCAAACATCGAGGCCTTCCGGATGTTATCCAGGCCCAAGTACCTAAAACGTTGCACAATAACAGTTATGCGAACACATCAACAAAAGAACTCATGTAATATCATGTAATGTATGTGGCAAGGTCTTGGTGCAATGAAAGTGCAAACGAAATAATAATTCTTAAGCATTTAGAAAACAAATGAATGAAAACAGTCTGTTCGCCTTAGTTCAACTGGTTGAAATTTGGCAAATGCGCGGATGTTTTTCACACTCTGAAGTCACCAGGCCCCCAACAACTGCACAATTCGCTCCAGGCCGAGGCCTACACCACCATGTGGAGGTACCTGAGTATCACTACTCACTTTTCTGGCCTGCAAATGAAAAGCATGTCCAAAAACAAGGTGACACGGGCTTTCGCAACCGTGCGTTTGTGATCGCAAGTCGCACCTCGCCTGCGTTTTAAGCACTGTTTCAAAGGTGCAAATTATGCGAGGGACGACGAAAAGTTATATCCACTCATTTTTCTCCTTCGAATTACGCCGATAGATCCATTGGAAGATTATGAAAACGATGACAATGTTATGCAGGACGATAACGTTGTGAAACCGATGACAATGCTATGAAACCGAAGACTACTTATCGTGAAATCGATGACAATGTTCTCAGCATGACATCCACATCCTCATTCCATCACAAGCCCCCACCCCCCCACCCCACCCCATTCTTGATCACACGACTAGTCGGTGACAATGTTATGAAACCGATGACAATGTTGTCGAACCGATGACAATGTTCTGAAAACGATTACTATGTTGTGAGACCGAAGATTACATATCGTGAAATCGACGACCATGTTCTTCTCAGCATGACATCCACATCCTCATTCCATCACAACCCCCCACCCCCCCCACCCCGTTTTAATCACACGACTAATCGATGACAATGTTATGAAACCGATGACAATGTTGTCAAACCGATGACAATGTTGTGAAAACGATGACCATGTTGTGAAACCGATTATTACATATCATGAAATCGATGAATGGAAGCAGAAATGGCAGAAATCGTGCATATACATGTGCAAGAAACACCGAAAATGTGACAAAATGTGAACGCCTCCACGGTTGTGAAAATCCATGTCACCAAAAACAAGGTGGCTGGAACTGATTCATGGTGACTTTCTTAGGGCTCTGGCACCGTGCCTGAATGATTCAATGTAGGACCTAAGCAATCTACTTTGACAATTGCTAGTCTAGTTTATCTGCGTGGTGTGGCCGAAACACTGCCGCATGAGATTGTGCACCATAACACAAAGACATTGATTGTGCCTCAAAAGTTCGGCGGTCAGTGTTGCATTTTATATGTGTGGCCCTCCAACGGTGAGCATTCACAATGACCATATCCTCTTGCAGAAGTTTTCGCACACTTGTTGACAGATCTAAGAAGTGGACTCTAAAGGGCCAGTTGGAACTCCAAGTTCGGCACACCTTGCCTGACAACATCAATGAAACTTCAGAAGGTGACCCTGCATCAGCAGAAAATTCAGGAGTAGGACTGGGTAGGCAAAACTGCCATGGGATGGTGACACTGGCGTGCGGCCTTCACGCTTCGCACAACGTCCACAGCTACCACAAGTTCCACGAGTTCCTTGTCCTTGCCCTTTGAAACCCTTGAGGTTGGAAGATAGTTCAACCGATAGCTTTAACCAGGGTGCCTACCAAGCCCGTGTCAACTTTTAGGCCTTGCAGCTGGCAGACGGCTTCAACAAGATCTTTGACAAGGCCACCTTGTCCCTTAGCATCTCGCAGGTTGGCAACCACCTGAGCCTTGCAGTTGGTCTACGGCCCCTTAGCATGTGGCAGTTGGCCCCCAAACTGGAGCCTACAGTACTAGGCAGTGAAGCAGCTGCGGGCAACATAAGTTTTGGTTGGCAAATATTGCTCCCTCGTGTACACTGGCAGGAGGGGGGTACCACAACCCTCTCCTGCCTTTTGGTTGTGCATGATTGGGAACACCGACCCTGTCGGCTCAATACCCTGCAACACTGTTCTGCTCACGCCGAGCATATGGCTCTAAATAGCAGTGATATGTTCTGTGCTTCTTTGGATGTTTCATTAGTTTCCTGTGTTTGTTCAATTTCAGCTATGCTGCCTCCAAAAGCTGCGGATCATGGCATCTTTGAGCTCCACTGCCAATCTCCTGCAAAATCTGAGCACGGCCAAAACACGAAGATGAACGAATAGAACGTGCAGCAAGAGAATCCATCTGTAAACAAATTCTTGGCTGTCCTGGCCACAAAATATTACATCGTATGAGTTGGAGAATTCGGGCCTGCCATGGTTATGGAAAAGCCATATAAGGGAATGTAAAGAACCCAAGCATCCCACCAGGTTGGAAATATTTCAGCTGACTTGAAACGCATATATGATATGGGTGGTGTTTCAATAATCGCAGAACAGAAAAGAAACCCCTTCGCTGCAAGAACCCGAGAGAACAACGAAAGTGGCCAAGACTGCAGGATGAATTCAGAAAACAGCTTGTCATGCATGCACCAACAGACACCTGCAAAGCCCCCTCATGAAAGCTGCACAACAAAACTCTGGTAATTAAGCAGCAAGCTAGAAAAGATCTCAACTAAGATAACAAAGGTTCTTCGCACTGATCCAAAGGAAACAGATTCATAAACACAAGTATTCAAATTCGCTGGCACAACAAAGGCGCGCGAAGACCAGCGATGCTGGAAACACGAGAAGAACAGGCCCTTAAAACCAAGAAGGCTCCAGCAAGACATGTTTGCCTAGTACCTGTGACAAGTGAGCTGATTGTTGTTTTCTTACATGTAGAATCAGACCAACTACATGTAAGGTGTTCAATCAAATTGCCAGGCAGGCCGATCGTGGGAAGGCATTGTGTAAAACGGCCTAAGAAAAAGCAATGATTTGACAAAATTTGACGGACTGCCTCCAATGTACATTCCGCACATCGCCTCACCGCAGAGGGGTACTGGTCCAAGAAGAACAAATCAGTACCTCGAAGCGCTTGACCGCGGGAAGTCCCATAACCATTTGGAGCCAAGCTCGGCTAAGGTGCAGACCATACTTTTCTCGTACCAGATTTCCCAGCATCTTCTCCTCACCGGTGCTTAAATCCTCCATGATGTCCTGCAAGCTCAGACTGTGTAAGATTAAGCGGCCATCTACTGTAAAAAGTATTCAAGTCTTGAATGCGTGACCACGGGTGCATTCCAGCAAAAGTGCGAATCGCCCCAGCCACCGCAAGCTGTAACAAGCACAGAGAATAACAGCTCCAGAAACTGAAAAACATGGACAAGGTTCGCTACTAGGAGCAAAGGGCATCGCTACTAGGAGCAAGGACGCTACGAACCGGGCTCCTGGCCTTACTATTAGTAACAAGAAGCTATTAGAAACAAGAAGCTAGTAGTAACAAGTGCATCGCTACTAGTAACAAGTGCCTTACTAGTAGTAAACAAGAAGCTATTAGAAACATGCATGTGTCATGTCGATACCGCACCGGCAGGTCGCAAAAAACGAGGTCAGGTCGGCTTGAGGTTTTGGCAGCATGACCTATTTGCATGCTATTTTATTGGACCATATGGTAACAACCGCAAAGCTTTGGTGACACCCTCCAAACTCTGGTTGAACCCGAAATGTAACCTTCCAAAACGCTGGTGGAGTCTCGAATGTGACACCCTGCAAACTCTGGGTGAACGCCGCAGGATGAAACTCCGAAGTGGATCTGAGTGTTGAATGTTTCCCTTTGGGCGTCACTTGGAGTGAAGCCATCCGTCCAAGCATGAGTGGCCATGTCAAGAAGGTTGTCCAACCAACGAGGGTCACAAGAAAAACCAAAAACTGTGAGGCAAACCCAAAGCCTTGGGGAGTTCTCACGCATCTAGGAAGCATAACTAACCTGTTCTAATCTACATCCTTTTTTGAGCCCATCAATGAGGAAAAACATTCCCGGATCTTCTCAACCACGTCTCCCTTCAGCCAATAGGATCTAGCTTCCTTCATGCAACCCAACAAGCTTCAAAAAGCAAAAGCATTAAAGCATTGAACTATTTCGACAAGCTGGCAAAGCTGAAATGTCCACCTCCTCCAGGCTGTTAGACTTTCTTGTAAATGTTTGGCAAAAATGGTATCATGTTTGCTCATGTCCTGTCAATGTAAACAAAAACAGTTGCCCATCTGTACATGAGACCAACCCCAAATCCGATTTGTCTAACTGCTCCAAAATAGCCTTTTATCGCTCACGCCGGCCGTTGCAGTACCCAAGACATAACAAGTCAGCTGCCATGGACCTCTGGTAAGACACATGATTTTTACATTTGTTGAAACGGATGATGATTATTTCACTGTGTTGTGAAAATGTTGCTTGGTTGAGCGTTATTATTACCCCCCACACCACCCCCACCTCCCACCCATCCCAGGTCTGGTTAAGAGTCAACGGATGATGAATTGTCGTGATAAGTGTATTGAAAAAAGCATCCGAAGCGTTGGGCGCTCTTCCTGTCGCCCTGAAGGCATGACTGCCTAAACTACACGGATGTTTGTAACCGCCTCTAACAAACCAAGCCGCTAGTGGCAAGGTAAGCAAAGAACAAGCATTCCACTTTTGCATGCAGAACCATGGGCTGATTGCAGAAAATGTGCAAATCAACCCAACCATGGCAAGCTGTAAGAAGCACAAAGAACAATAGCTCCGGAAACGACAAGA